GTCCAGCAGCCAGTGCTCCTGAAATCCCAACATCTCTCCATTAACCACAATGTGAGAGCAATGAGAGCAGCTCTATCAAATCCAGCCTGGCAATGGAGGATGATTTATTCCAGCTAAGACAGCTTCCGTAAGTAACAAGGGGAGACAGAGACACACAGGGATTAAAAACAAACAAACTACAGAGTACGAATCCTAGTGAATTTTTAAAATTGAAATTATTCCTGGGAAATGGCTCAAGCCACAAGAAGCATGTGAGAGCAATGAGAGCAGCTCTATCAAATCCAGCCTGGCAATGGAGGATGATTTATTCCAGCTAAGACAGCTTCCGTAAGTAACAAGGGGAGACAGAGACACACAGGGATTAAAAACAAACAAACTACAGAGTACGAATCCTAGTGAATTTTTAAAATTGAAATTATTCCTGGGAAATGGCTCAAGCCACAAGAAGCAGGCCATTTTCCTGGTCTGTCTGCTCAGATTTAGCATCCTTGACCCCCTGGATCTGCTGTGTGAAACTGTTTGCTTTATTAACTCACCCAGTTTTTATTTTTACTTGAACTTTGGGTGGGTGGATGTGCATGTGGGAGGTTGGTTATATAATCTGGGAGAGTGCAAAGGGTTCTGGTGAGAGGAAACATTAGCAGTGCATTTGCAATGTGGATTGCATCTGTAAATAACATCGTGCCAAGGTAGATATCTTCCCTAGTCTTTTACTTCATGCAGCCAACTGATTGCAGACTACTACCTTTCTTCAAAGGGTACGTTTGCAGTGAAGGCCACTGCTGTTTGTAAATTGTATGATTTGAAGAAGCAGACATTGCTGCACAGGGAATGCTTGTGCATGACAGACTCCTTGCTGTTTGTACCTGAATACTAGATCTATGCAAAGAGCTGATAACAACCTGATTGCTGGATTTGTCACTTTGAAATGCTTACCCTTCTTCTGAATGTGAAAGGTGTCCTTTAAAAATAATTACATTTTTTTCATGCTTTTTTGCCTTGTTGCTTAAAACACATCTGTATTTATAAAACATTGACTAGGAAGGCAGAAAATAAAGGACTGAACTAAATTTAAAATATTGAGATGATGTAAAGTAAATCAATCAGTTAAATATTTAACCAGTTAGAGATATACAATGGCATGAACTTCAGGTTGTGTTGAAAAACATGTGTTATGGTGCATTCTCCTTTTTAGAAGAGAGAAAAGATGCATGTTTTCATTAGGCCATCTTTTTTCTATTCTGTTATTTTGATGTACTTAATAATTATCTAAGTACCTTTCAGTGTATGAATAATTGAAATTATTCAGTATTGTGGAGTCTTGCACAAAAATGCAGTTCTACGAGATGCTTCAATAGTGAAGAATTTCTGGGGGTATGCACCAGTAAGCTCATCACTTTGTTTTTCTTCCATTTCAGTTAGCTTCACAGTTCAAAAACTGTGTTTTATTTCTTAGAAAGAGGTTTGGCACCAGGTTCTTCAGTCTTTACTCAGGCAAAACTCCCATTGAGGTCTGTTGGATTTGTAGATCATTTACAATATGTTTGTACAGCACCTCACACTATAGGGCCCCAAATTAGTCACTCTTTAGGCACTACCTCATTATACTTATTAAATAATAATAATTATTACTACATGGGCTTTAAGATCAAGTCCTTTATTAAAAGACAGGCATTTATTATTATACATTTTTTGTATGCAACCAATAAATGCACTGTAAAAATAATCATATATATTGTATGAACAATTTTCAGTTATAACCCCAGAGAGTAATTGAGTATGACAGGCCAGATCCAAAACCCATAGAAGTCAACAGAAGTATTTCCCTTGACTTCAGAGGACTTGAGTCATGCCTTGAGAATGCTGAAATTCTAGCATGTGGATTTACTATACAGATAATGGTAGTCTAAAAATAGCAAAAATACAACAGAAAACAAGTAATATAATTAAGTCTGAGACTCCTAAAGCTTTTGTGCATAAAATATGAATGGAACATTTATATTACTTGCCTTTTGATGATAAAAATCTTACTGAATTACAACTTTCAGTATATGTTTGTGGGTATGCATGTTTTGTAGATTATGTGTTTTTGTGACAAGCTGACATTGTTATAATGACAGTCTTCAAGGGTATATAAAGAAGTAGTAAATTATTTCATTCATCTTTTAGGTCCAGCAAAGGGAAAGTCAAAGCAATTGCTGCGGTAAAAATCCATTTGGGAAAACTTACAATTAAATTTGAAAATGGAATTGAGCATAAACAGGAACTGAGAAGCTTTTTTATTTCTACTGAATGCAAAAATCTTTTACATATCCCTCATAATTAACAGAACATTGGGTAACACCCTATTCCACTGAAATTAATGGGAGTTTTGCCATTAACTTCAAGAGGAGCAAATTTACAAATGCATGTATTTTAAAACAAAAATGAATGAACATCTGTTCTTCCTTTGCTTACCTGCCAAGACCTGAATCCCTGAGACTAGGTGCTTTGTTTCTCCTGTTGCAGCTGAAAGCATTACTAAAGAAGTATAAAGGATGCAAGGAATGCATTATCTATGCAGTGGATCAGATCCTGAGATACCTGTAACCTGAAGAAGCCCCCAAAATATCTTAAAATGGTTTGCAAGTCAGCTGTCCATGGGAGCAGAAGTAGTGGTAGTCCCACACATGTCAATGCTGGATCTTTCCACCACCCATATGCAGCAAAGATATTAGTGATGAGTGACTACAAGTAATGTATAGTGGGTGAAATAGTACATGTGCCAGCATGGATCAGCAGTATGGTATGGTCCAGGTATGGTTCCACTAGATCCAAACACTGCACTGAAGGGAAAGCATAGGCCATGTCAACTACTCCTCTCACAGCCTATATTAGAGATTGTGGCACAGATGCACAGGCAGTTTTGTGGGATAGGGCTGAGGCTCACCCCTTGATTTTTTTCATAGATCAGAGTCTTTTTACATGAGATTTGCTGCTTCCCCAGCACTTTGCCCTATTTTAGGTATGGTGGTGTCATCAGCTCTTGCAGGAGAAGTACAGAACTCACATCTTGCCAAAGATAAAGTCTTCCCCTTCCCTTTAAAAACTGTCATATGTACATGTCTGACTGCAGCAGCTGCAGCATGCAAGCATGCTTGGTAAGTATTTGATGTTGTCCCTTAAAGAGAAGGAAAAATGAAATCTTTTCTAATAGTTATTTTAGGCTGAACATATTAGGTTACTGAAGACCAAAAGATACACAATCAAGACAATTTTAAAAACCTATAAAGTAACCCAAATAAATAAAACAAAACCCCTTATTGCATTGAAATATATGAGGGTGTGAGTGGCTAAGGTATATAAGTCACTCACACATGACAAAAGGTGGATATAGAATGAAGAAAGATTTGAGCAGTCTGTGACATAAATGTGCATTTTGAATAGACCTGTTACAAAATATTTAGCCTTTAGCTATATACTGATTGTTTGGCACACAAATGAAGGTAAAAAGATGGAAAATGTATCTCTCTTGGCTCTAAGCCATAGAGGGGCCCAGGATATAGTTACTACACAGAGTACCAATATGAAAATGATCATGGAAATGCTTGTGAACAGTATTCTGGCATATGCTGCAAATCCCAGTGTGATTGTCTTCTGCATAAGTAGACACCACAGTTTTAACTTTCTATTCTCAATTATTCTTTTAATCATTTGTGCTGGCCACCTTGTGTATAAGATAAATGGTAGGATAACCTTACACCTGCATGATGTCATATAGTGTACATCCACAGTGTAGAAGGGACTGCTGTTGAGGAAAAAAAGAAAATTTTGGTTTCTTAGTAAATATTTGGTTGTTCATCAGGCCAATGATAGAAAAATGCTCCTATCTGAAAAAGGGTCATAAAATAATAAAAGTTTGCTAATTGGTCCCATATTCATCCAGGACCTCATTTCTCTTGTAAATGTCTGAGCCTTGATTCTGCAATTTCTTTAAGAGTGCACAGCAGGATGTGCAAGATTTTTTACCTGCATTGAAAGGTGAGTGGAGGACAAGCATGGGTACAAATAAGGGTGAGTGCTAGGCATAGCCCTTCATGATGAGCTGAAGGCTTCAATTCTTCTGAGTAGCTGCGGTTAACCCACTCTCCCCATCATGTGCCCACTGCTCCTTCAGCCCTCTTCTGCTACTAGGCAATAGTAATTTTGCATTAGGACAGCAGAACTCTCATTTAGCCAGGATGGGGTTCACTTGTGTTCCCTGCCCATCATTTCATCCCTTGTGCTTGAATTTCACTTGCGTTGTGGAGGATCAAACTATTAATGACTAGGACTTGGAATTAATTATTCCCCCTGTTAGTTTACATCCCTGTCCACTGAAATAAGACATCAGTATGGTAGCATTATTTTCTTTCAAAAGACCCAAATAAAATCTATTCCCAAGATAAGAAGTCAAAAATAGTTTCTAAGAAGAATGCAAACAAAGTCTTTTTTTATTTCCAGTGGCTTTAGCCTACCTGATTATGTAAATAAGGAACTTTATTTCCTTCTGTTTTTATAAAGTGTATAAATCAAAAGACTGTGAATCCAGGGATAACATATTTATTCTTCATTTATTTTACTACAGTTACCTGTATCTCCATTTTGTAGCGTGTTATTAATATTTATAGTCCTTTGCAAGTCTCCTTTCTGCAAGGAGCTTTATCCCAACAGGATCTATTTCTAAAATAATTTTACATGAATAAAAATGCCCAAACCTTGATTGCTTTGCTTTCAGGAATAGGCTAAAGTTCAAAATGGCAGGCAAATATAGCAGGTGCTGACTGTAATTCTCAGCTCTGAATTTATCTTTTCTGGAGCAATCTATAGGAAACATCTAATATTATGGACCAGTGGTTCAAATTTTTTGGTATATATAGTAACAGCAAAAGAAGCTATAATATATTTACAATGTCAAACTCTCTAGAAATGAAGTGTTTGATTATATGCAAGAAAATTCTGTTTGATATCTGCTAACATGCAGAGACTTTCGCTGTGGTTTTTTGCTCTGCTGACTTTTCTCATAAGCACCAGTTATTTTTTTAGTGAGTCAGGATGGGAGGAAACAGTGCCAACTGCAAGCAAAACTTTTTGGACCTTTCTTTGCTGCTTGTTGGTGTGATCAAAATGCCAAGTAAACCTTTAGGGCAGTATTGTAGCAGCTGGTATAAGTGCTGGTCTTAATCTCTAGAACTCTCAAGCACTGGGTTATAATCTTGTCCCGCATCTGCATCAAGTAGAACAGGCTACTAGCCCCTCTTCCTTCCACAAGTGATACTTGCATATCACAGGGCAGATTTTATCTCATCAGCTCAGTGCAGGACCAAATACTGTAGTTCTTTCTTGTTTTTTACTCATTTCTTACTCAGGTAAATGCATGGAAGTATGCCAAAGTAAGGAGGCAATAAAACTTAGTGAAAAACCAGATAAGGGCATCTGGATTTGATAAGTAATGTATAATGTTTTCAGCCTGTTTACATTGATTATAACCATACAATCCACACAAGCTATGATAAACAAAACAACTGGCCAACGTAAGAGAGGTGCTGAGATCTCATACATTTCAAAGGGAGATGAAGATTCTCCACACTTCGAAGGAGATAGCGAGCCACAAGATTGGACTTTCATTTCATATACATGGTCTAACTTAATACAATCACAAATGTATTAAAGTAGTTTGCTCTCAGTCACAATATCAGAAGATGGATCTTCAGAACCACCAAATGAATAAGCATTGTGCTTAACATAGTATTCATGTTGACAGCACAGAATTCATAGTTGTTTTCTGCCAGTGATTTTCTTTCTGCCTACCTGTCTGTCTGTCTACATGCATACAGGCACAAGTATTAAATAACATTGTGTCATTAGTTTCAAATGCTTTGTCCTGGTTATAGAAATGGGCTGCATTTAATTTTTTGCATTGTTGTCAAATGATTGATTTGTGTACCAGGGGACAAGCAGAAATCTTGAAATTTGGGAAGTAGCTAAACATTACATAGTGAAGCAGGATTCATAAAATAATTCAGTATTAGAAAACAACTGGCTAGTCTTACTAAACTGACTGCTATCTTTTTAGATGAATACTGTGATAGGCTGTAACTTCAAATCTCATAACTTTTACATGCTACTGTCTTAAACTGATCTTGTGCCTTTACCATTGTGGAACTAGTTAAATATTTTTATTCAGATAAATTATTTGAATTAGTTGTGTTATTTGTGTGTTTCTGGTACCTCAGTATAGTCAGTGAAGTATTGAATGATAGTTTTTTAAAATGAACTATGGGATACTAAATGGTTAGCAAGACTGGTAGTGGTAACAACCTTTTCCATTTGGTCACTATTCCGCATTCATCCCAAATCAGTTGTGAAAGTGAATGGGCATTGTAACTCTCTGGTGGCTTTAATGCACCCTTTGTGAAATAACTTAGTGATTCTCATTTTGGTTCCCAGTAGATAAGTGCCTGTATTTGCCAATCTCAGCAGCAAGGCTGAGGATTCAATAAGCCCTAAAAATTGAAGTTTCTTCTCACTTTCAGAAGGTGGTCCTTCCAGTTCAGGATTAAGATTAATTTTTAGGAGACTGTGGGGTATGGTCACTTATGGAAGATAGGGACCCGTATGCAATGCATGTTACACTTCCTCTGTGAACAAAGGATTTGTCTCTAGTGCTTTCAGACTTGCTTTTTTGCCTGCACTAAGTTCATCCACCCATTTTTCTTTTGTCAGAAAGTGATTTTATGCAGAGTGAACAATATATGCAGCAGCTCTATTCTTTGAGTCAATTGACATTAAGAAAACATTTTACTTTGCAGCCTGTAAGATTAAACCTTGTAAATGGTTAATGAAAACATTGAATTCAAGGCATCACTGATGGACTTTAAAGCCTTGAATGATATTCAGCCTGGATAGCTAATAACTCCCCTTTTGTTTTAAGATCTGCTGGGAAGCATCCACTTTCAAACCCTAAATGTTAACATTTCAGTAGCCAACTATGTGATTTCAATCAGGTGGTTAGATATCCAAATGCTTGTCCACTGTAGATGCAAAAAGGTAGAGAGACAATAGAAGGATCATTTTAAAACATTCTGTCTCCAATGGCTTGGCTCACAACTCAAAGCATGATACAAAATACATTCATTTTGCTGAGTATTTGATTAATCAGTTTTTGTTTGTGTTTTATTCTCAAAAGGTCCTGTTACTACAGCAAGAGGCAGTGCAGAAGTTAGTAAAATAATAATGAGTAATAACAAAACATCTAAATGAAGCTTCAGCAAATCATATTACTGTCAGAGAAATGATACTCAGAACCATTTACTCTCATTTCTATATTCTTAGGGTGGTCAAGTTTCGCCGCACAGGGGAAAGTTCCAGGTCAGATGAGGATGCCATTTCAGGAGAGCATGAAATTCAGATTGAAGGTGTTCGGTCAGAGCTAGAGGCTGTAGAGCTAGAAGATGGAGCTGCAGTGCCGAAGGAATTTGCCAATCCAACTGATGGTAAGCAGGTCTCGAGTGTTCCTCTTAGAAAAAGGATGTGACTTCTACATTTTACTCAGACTGCAGCAAAAGACTGGGTTGAAGGAACTGAAAACCCACCAGGCAAAGTGATAAGTAACAATATAGATTAATTATGATACAACTGATCAGCCATCAGTTAAATAAACTATCTTCTGAGGGGATTGGATTATTTGGATGTTATCAGAACTGGAATCAAAAGAAATCTCAGATCAAAACATACCTAAATTTGGAGGGATGAACATAGAGCTGGATCCAAATTTTTCCAAACACTTCCTGTGTTCATACAAAAGAAGTTTTGGTTTGCTTGCCAAACCAAAACTCTGGATCAAACACTCTAAAATTATGGACTGAATCTGGGATCGATCCTAGATATTGAAGATTATAGTGCAGCATAACTGACATAAACTCAAAAGAATCAAAAAGTTAAATAAAAGGGTAATAAGATTTATTGCTTTATTCTGATCAGTTGGTTTGGGACTGAGCCCTTACAATGCTATTTCAGGAGGATGTGGGACAATTAACTTGGCATGTTATTTTTGTAGTATACATTCAGTTACATGATTGCTGAAAGCTGATGGCATCTGACAGATGTTTGATAGCCTGCCTGATGTGAACTGATGCATATAGTGGATTACTTTGTGGAATTGTCTCCTACCAACTTTGTTCAAGGCATTTTGCATGGAATACTAAAGGGGAAATTATTCTTTAGGTACTTGATAACACAGTATACATAGGACTAATTTAAATCAGAATGTTCTGTTGACCTAGTATTAACAATCAGAATGTAGCTGGATATTTTTTGCTCATCCACTTCTGTTCGGTATTTTTCCTCACCCATTTTCCCCATATCACTCTCTGTATCCATAATGAGAATAACATAGCCCACTAGTCAGAAACATCATGGCCTCCATGGCCTCAGGAGGGGAAAGACTGGAGAATTACCTATTTGCTATAAAAAAATGTTTACTGATTTTGTAGCCCTCCAAATTTTTGGAACTGGATCTTGAGTGACCACATCTTTCCTCTGGGAGAGCTGGATAACTCCTTTTTAGAATTAATTACGGCTGCTCTTAAGTCCTCATGCAGTACAGGCAGTCCCCGGGTTATGTACAAGATAGGGACTTACATAATTTGTATGTAAGTCGAACTGGTACATATTGTAGGGGAAACTCTAGCCAAACATTTCTCCAGAGCTCAGTTTTATTCTCCCACCCCTCACTTCCCTCAGTCCTTTATTCTCAAGCTGAGGTGTCTGCTGAGAAAAGCCGATCCGTGTCTTCCTGGTCTGCTGGGGGAGGGGGAGGGGTGCTAGCTTCACGACTCCCTGGTCTGCTGGGGAGAAGCAGCTAGTGCGGGGTTGCCTCACCCCGTTTGTAAGTAGGGATCCGATGTAAGTCGGATCCATGTAACCCGGGGACTGCCTGTATTCACTAAAGCAGTAACCTATGGCTCACCTTCAGAGCTGAGGATGAAGCCTCTGCAGTGTGGTTAGTTCCCACTGGCATAGAGGACAAGAGGAGGAAACACAGCTAAGCACTCCAACTTTTGTCTGCTGGGACAGTTACCAGCCGAGGGAGCTTATTTACTTACACGGCTGATGTAATTTGAAGCCAGTATATCACTTGGGTGTATAGTATGGGTTTCTGTTCCCATTTTTGTTTCTTCTTATTCAGTGATGGTGGAAGAAGCAGGATGGAATTATAATGTGATACGCCTTCCCACTTTAGAGTACTTTATTTGGAGGTTTCTGGCTCACTGTGCATTTTCTCTTTAGCACAGTTGTGCCCTACTATTTATTCATTGTACTTTAACTTTCCCAAAATAGTCTGAGGTTATGTCTAGACTATGTAGAATTTTCGAAAGAGGATATGCAAATTCTGCTGAAATTTGCATATCTACTTTTGATCTTACTTTTGAAAGAAGATATTTCGAAAGTGAAAGTAGTCTGGACACGTTTTTTTTCTGAAAAAACCCTTTTTCGAAAAAGCCGCTCTTCTATGCAGTTTTGTTGAAAAGGGTTTTTTTCCCCAAAAAGCCCTCATCCAGACTATTTTCACTTTCAAAAGATTCTCTTTCGAAAAAAACCCCATAGTTTAGATGTGCCCTTCGAGGGGTAGCCATGTTAGTCTGTAACTTAAAAAAAAATCTTAAGAAAAAATGAGTGGTCCTGTAGCACCTTAGTTAGTCTCATAAGGTACATCTACACCTCAGCTTATTTTGGAATAACTGATTTTTTTGAAATAACAAAATTCATGTCTATACAGAAAGCCATTATTTTGAAATAATGGTGAGCTGGAGGACTTCTTATAACCTATAACCCTCATTTTATGAATAGTAAGAGAAGTCAAAGGAAGAGTGTTCTTCCTTTGATTTCCTGCTGCATGGACAGCGCCAAAGCTGAATTAACTACAGCCGGTCCCCAAGTTGCGAATGGTCGACTTATGACCGTTCGCAGTTATGACCAAAAGTGTTGTAAATGGCGGACCCCGAGTTATGAACATGATCCGTGCTTACGAACAGCGTGTTCGTGTGTAACTGAATGGGGTCCGACTTATGAACAAACCGAGGTACGACCAATTGCTTGGTCCGTAACTGGTTCATAAGTCAGAGACAGGCTGTATTTCAACTTCAGCTACGCAGTTGATGTAGCTGAAGTTGCATATCTTAACTGGACTTTTGCCCTGCTGGGTAGATGTGCCCTAAGATGCTACAGGACCACTTGTTTTTAAGCTTTTTCCCAAAATAATATCCAGACTTCGGTGAATCTCTGCAAAGAGCTCAGCATATCAGGAAAGATCTAGGACATGCACTAATATGGAGAGAGTTTCTGTTAGTGATAGCCCTAAAGAGAAGCTTGAAAGCACTGAAGAGACATACCACATAATTCAACACCATGTTTCTCAAATGATTGGATGTGAAACCACATACTGACTTTCTGAAAAATCTCAGCACTGGCTTATTTGGGACTTGACTTCCAGCAACGTATTATGAGATTAGCTGAAGTTTTACTTTTTCTGTAATGAGAACATTTTAATGGGGAAGTTGGCTTTGTATTTAGTGATAGTTGGTACTGGAAAAACTTTGAGACTTAAACTGATTTCAGCCACTTCAAAATTAAAAACATATGTATATTGACATCTTTTTTCTAAATTTCAGACAGATGTGGTTTGTAATGTCCAAGATAGTAAACGTGAGGGCTACGTCTAGTTTTCCGTTAAAAGCATTTTCAGAAAAGCGCGTCTAGATTGGTACGGACGCTTTTCCGCAAAAGTACTTTTTGCGGAAAAGCATTTGTGGCCAATCTAGATGCGCTTTTGCGCAAAAAAGCTCTGATCACCATTTTCGCAATCGGGGCTTTTTTGCGGAAAACAAATCTCAGCTGTCTACACTGGTCCCTTTGCACAAAAGTTTTGCGCAAAAGGGACTTTTGCCCGAACGGGAGCAGCAGTAGGAAGTCAGTGCTTTTGCGGAAATTCAAGCGGCCAGTGTAGACAGCTGGCAAGTTTTTCCAGAAAAGTGGATGATTTTCCAGAAAAACTGGCCAGACTAGACACAGCCTAGGTGATGGCCAGAAATTGGGGTCCAAATTCAATACATGGCCATTTGCAAGATTCAGAATTCTATAGGCATTTTTAAAAACAGTATCAGTGATCGTCCATGTGTCCTGGACAAGCTCTCATCTCAAACCATTAAATTCTGCCTCCCTAGATTCCCTCTGTAATTTTAATTGGATAAAATATCCATCATTTCCTCTCCTCTTGTTTGGTATTGCTGTGTGCTGTTAAACAATTGCTGTACTTCACTTCAAAGATGGCTGCATTTCAGTGGTGGGTGAAGCGACCCCTTAGCCTAACATCAGCTCTCAGTCTAGATGGTACAAATCATTGAATTTCCTCCAAAGTCAACAGGGCTACACTGATTTGTATAAAACTACTGTATAAAGCCCTGAGGATTTAGCCCACTACACTAATATTACACTATCATTTTTATTAGCTGTGATTTAAATAGCTGTCGTGTATGGCTCTTCTGGGAGGGAAAGGAATGCAGTCCTGAACCAGAATTGTTGATTCTTTTCTAGATACTTTTATGGTGGAAGATGCGGTGGAAGCCATCGGATTTGGGAAATTCCAGTGGAAGCTCTCTGTTCTTACTGGATTAGCATGGGCAAGTAACTGTTGCCAAGGGCAATGACATGATCAGCCTCTCCAGGAATCCATGTCATACACTGAAATGCACATGTTATGTTTATGGTCTAGGGGAAAGCAAACAAACATGTAATGAGCAAAGACTAGTGCCTGAAATGTTAACAATTACCAGAATCAGAACTAGAATATGACAAGAAAGCTGATTAGGCTTTTTCTAGAAGACAGGGCTAGATGGAACCATTTGGATCCTGTACTCCAAAACTTTGCTTCAGGTAGGAAGGGTCCCAAATTAAACCTGTAGTAAATTGATCTTACTTTTCCTTAAAAACAAGCTAGAGATTTTTATCATATTTATATTAGGCAAAGTGTTCTATATTCTCTATAAATTCATCATTAACGAGGTTTTCCTGATAGCTGTATATATTCCTGTTGCACCCCACTCTCAGTGCTTCTAGGGGTTGGCATCTAGACCAAGTAATGATTCTCTTCTACAAATGTCAATTTTTATGTATAAAGACCTGTAAGATCCCTTCTCTGTAATATTTTAGGCCACACATATCTAGAGCCTTCATTTTCTAGTTACTGCCCACATATAGGATTACAAAATACAGGACTATGTAGGACTTTAAAGACTAACAAGATGGTTTATTAGATGATGAGCTTTCGTGGGCCAGACCCACTTCCTCAGATCAAAAAGTGGAAGAAAATAGTCACAACCATATATACCAAAGGATACAATTAAAAAAAATGAACACATATGAAAAGGACAAATCAAATTTCAGAACCGAACGGGGATGCGGGGGGAGGGGAAGGGGAGGGAGGTAGATGTCTGTGAGCTAATGATATTAGAGGTGATAATTGGGGAAGCTATCTTTGTACACGGCTATCACTATATAGAATTACAGTCTGCCATGATTATAATCCCAGTGAATAACTGAGGTAGATTTTGGCCCATAGATGTTTTCCCAAAATATTTGGACCAAATCCAGAGGTGATATATGTAAGTGTGTAAATTATATGGCAATAAGTAGGTTTAACTAAGTCTGGTTTAAAGGAAGTCTAAAGTTGGAACAACTCTTGCTAAGTAACCAGAAAAAGGAGTTAAAACAACCATTTTATGCACCACTTCTGAGTTTGGCTCTTTGAATCCTACCTACTAAAAATCTGATATTTTGTAGGCTTAGCTAGTTTAACGTAGCAGACCATCCCAAGTCTGTGGGGGCAAAGAGAAATGAGTTTTAAAGTGCTCATACCCCCATGCAAAGTTAATGCTCAGAAAATATATTGTTTATTTCACTGCACTATTTAAATCTGCAATGCAATAGCTGTCTTTCAAACTGGACTGCCATGTTTTGCCTCCATCACAGGAGTGGCTTCAGCAGGGAGGCGGTGACTTTAAAAAAGAATTATAATTGGCTGTGATTACAATAATACTCAGGCAGTCATAATTTTTTTCTTTATTGCCCTTCTAGATGGCAGATGCAATGGAAATGATGATTCTAAGTATCCTAGCACCTCAGCTTCATTGTGAGTGGCGATTACCAAGCTGGCAGGTTGCATTGCTTACATCGGTAGGAAAAATAGCTGACAGCTCCTGTATTCTGTAAGGTGTTTCTACTCATTGCTGTTCAGACACTTTAGTTTATATCATCATGTAAAATCTGCTCATGCCTTTACAGAGGGGTGGGGACTAGATTAGTATGGATTTATCTGACTTTGGCTCATTTGTGTTGTAAGAGCCTTTCTTTAAGAGACAGAATTTGATCATATGAAACTCAACCAGAAATTCAGATTTTGACTTGTGGGGGTTTCCATTACATGTAATTTCCAGCCCAACCTATATATTCACCCAGGCTCATCCCCAAACTCAGACACCCTCCCCCCACGTTGGCTCACAGAAAAGGTTTGTATAAATTTTGATAATCTTTTCAGAGAACCTTTTTTCTTACTTTGTTGGGAAAGTCTATGCTCCTTTGTACATGGAAATACTGGGAGCCCTGGGGTGAAGTGGATTTTGCTGTTTGTGCTGGGCTCTCCACGAACCCCTGAAAGTATAGCCCTCAGAGAGTGGTGCAACAGTGCTGGAAATGTAGATGTGCTTTAGAGAAGAGAAAATCTGTGTGTAGGACGTGGACGGGTGTGAATCCCTGCTACGTACAATTGTTGTTTCTTTGTGGTTTACAGCTTAACTCCCAAATTCCCATTACATTTCTTGCTCCAATGGCCTCTGATAATGTTTTGGACAGTGCTGAGATTGCACAAATTTGTAAATATGATATATACATTTTAACCAAATAGCGAGTGTAAACATCATGCCTTTCACCTAAGTGAAATCAAAACACTCCAACTAAATGAGGACCATAGCCAGCATTTCAGCATAGCAGTTTTGTCAGATATCTAAAGCAGTGGTGGGTAACCTGTGGCCCAAGCAAATGCGGCCTTTTGGGGTTCTATGTCTCGTAACCCAATACGGCCCATTGGGGTTCTATGTTCATTTCGTTTTCTCTTGCCCATGCACAGGGTTGACATAGTCTGCTGGTTTTCATCTGCTTAATTTTTTCCCCTATTGGTATTGTTAAATTGACATGTGCTTAAATCAAGGACATGTGAAATGATGTACGTGCTGATTGCACACATTTGAGAGCCATATACTCCCTCTGCATCCAATCAAAGCACTGCTATGGTTCAGTTGTCACACTCTGCAAATTCTAGGTAGCAAAACTACCCTATCCTGGGAGATCATCTTGGTTACAACAATCTTGCGGCCTATTGAGATGAAGGAGGCCACACATGCAACTCACTCACTAGCCTAGATTGCCCATCACTGATCTAAAGGATGGAGTAACCTCAAATGTTTGATGAAAGCTGGTAAATGGATGGTAAGTGGACCCTTTCTTGCATAGGCTGCAGTGCCTTTTTAGACAAAACTTCCATTGTCTTCAGTGGGATTTTTGGCCATATAAAAACTGCAAGATCTGATCCATGAGTGAAACTTGGCAGTTTTTGTCATTAATGTCAGTGGGGGAGTATTTTTATTTGTGATGTATGCTATATTTCCTGTAGTATCACTATTATTAAAGGTACAGTTTTTTCTTTAACAATATCTCTGGAGTTGTAAATTCTAATTATGTCTCCAGTCAAGGACAGTTACATCACCTGTGAGACCAAATCTCACACAAATTGCTGATGAAACTGTTGATCAGAGGCTAGAGAGGAGACATACCCAGTATCACCCAGTATTCAGAGAAGCTCAAAGCTGCAAGGTACTGAGCACTGTAGCCTGATCCTATACAAAGCTTAAGCAAATGTTTATTTTTAAACATGTCATTAGCCTCATTGCAGTTAATAGGACTGCTCATGCACTTAAAATGAACATATGCTTCAGTGCTTAACAGGATTTGAGCCAGAATAATTAGCATCTTGCAGAATCGAGCCTCAGATGAATACTAGCATGTATACTAGCCTGCACGTTGAAATGCCAGTCACAGATTAGCTCTGTGCACAGGGCCTTAATGACCTTCCATTTATCAGCAATTTATACAAACTAGTCATTGTGTCAAAACTTAACATTGCTGGTCCTATTGAAGTCAATAGTGAAACTTGCATTGCCATCCATAAGTGTGGAGTTAGTCCAATGTTGAGTGCTTTTGAAAGTCCCATTTTTTATATAAATCTCCTTTATAAAAACTGGACCCTCAAGCATCTGAGCGTAATACAGTGGTGACAATGAGTGTTTCAATTTTTTGGTCTGATTGTAAAGTTGTGCAGCTTTCTCTTTTGAGCTGTTCCCTGGAAATGTACATGTGCTGTTAAGAGGAAAACTATTTCTGATTTTCCACAGGTGGTGTTTGTGGGAATGATGTTCAGCTCTACACTCTGGGGAAACATTTCAGACCAATATGGCAGAAAAACTGTAAGCCTCCAATTTTTATTGGAATAGGGGCCATTATAACACAGGTACTGTGCACTCCACTAGAGTGCATAACATTGCTTATTTGCATAATCCACATACTTGCACAAGAATCAAGCACTCCCAAGCTAGCTCAGTTTCTGCTCTCAGTGAGAGCAACAGGATTGGAGTAGTAAATGAGAGGTTAGAAAAATAAAGAGCGAAGAAAATAACTGCCTGACTGTGTTATAAAGTTAAGCATGTTTTCTTTAGAGAAAGACTTTCTGAAATTCTGGGCGGTAATTGAACACACTTATAGCATACTTATTTGCTTGCACGAACTATAGGGCTTTGTGCTTAATTAGGGCCACTAGCATGCAACATTTGTACATATAGTTGTGAAGTCTCCTTTAACTATTTTGAGCCTAACTTTATGAAACCCTTGGCTCCCGGGTTCACAAAACTATCCTCATAGAGTGCTATCTGGCTTCCTAACTTAGGAGATCTGAGTGTTAGTCTGTCATTTTCTAATTTGTGTTACGGCATCATCCTTTTTCTGTTGTTTGTTAAATGCAGGGGTTAAAAATCAGCGTGTTCTGGACCCTGTACTATGGGATCCTCAGTGGTTTTGCACCAGTGTACAGTTGGATCCTTGTGCTCAGGGGACTGGTGGGCTTTGGGATTGGAGGAGTACCTCAGTCGTAAGTAAATATTCCCGTTGCAAAATATTTCCCTTTTCATGTCTTGTAACACTGAAATAAATGTTCCTGTGGAATTGTGAATGTCACTCAATTCAGGTGCCTTCTGTTCCTAAGTTGTTCCAAAAAGGTTAGCACTGATGTATTCAACTCTAGGAAGGCTTTTGAAATGCACAGGTTTTCTGTGAGACAGCGATTAGACCCTGATAGCTAACATGCTCTTCTGAACAAACTGAGGGTACGGCTAGACTACATGGCTCCATCGACAAAGCCATGTAGATTACTTTACTCAACAAAGGGAAATGAAGCGGCGATTTAAATAATCGCTGCTTCATTTAAATCAAACTGGCCGCCGTGCTGTGCCGATCAGCTGCTTGTCGGCACAGCACGGCAGTCTAGATGGGGATCTGCCGACCCCAGAACCCTTTGTTGGCAGATCCTGTAAGCCTCATTTTACGACTAACATGGCCACATCTTAACAGACCCCACTGATAAGTCTCATTTCCATTTGCATGCCTGCCTAATCTACCTGGCTCCGTCAATGGAGCCATGTAGTTTAGACACACCCTTATAATCCTCCCCTTCTGGGGGTTTAAAGTCTGATGACAAGACTATCACCCGCTCCCCTGTCCAGTCTAATTGAATATGGTCAGAGGCTTTACATATAAATTCTATTGGATTTTCCTGTACTAAACTAAGGCAGTTAGCTATTGATATTCAGTCTGCAGATCTAAGGCATGAAACTTTAAAGCAGCTGATAGAGATCAGCTTCTTATTTTGGTGCTTTTACATAGAAGAAGTGAAGTGCTAATCACAGGAGTTGTGCTTCCTACAAGCAGATGGAGCAGAATAGACAGGGAAGCCTGACTTAGACAGATGCTCATGGATTTGTTTATGGGGTGAGTCAATATCCTGCAATAGCTGAAGCTTTTCTAGTACCATTCCCACAAATCCAGACAAAGGGGTCACAGCTATGATATGCTTCTGTAATACTATTAGTACCTATTCCATTGCTCTTTCGCCTCACTCCAGTAAGACTACAAACGAGAGTAAACTATGTGAACTATGTATGTAAACTAAAATAGTCATTAACCTGCCAGATGTTTATAAAGCATGAGCCGGATTCTGCCACACATTTCTCAATACACGTTATTAAAATGGGGCAGAAGAGCAAAAGAAAAAATGCATCAGAGTTAATGCTTTGCATTACAAACATTTATTAATAGATAAATCTAAATTAATGTCATTTTACAGAAGAAACAAAGGCACAGAGAAGTTACATGGCTTGCCAAGGGTCACAAAGCAAGCCAGTTACAGATGTCAGAATAGAGCCCAGATCTCCTGAGCTACTGTGTCTGGCTCTAATTGTAAGAGAGTCCAGTGGGCAGTAGTGCATGTAAGAGGCAGAACTTCTGTAGTGCCAATTATTCTGTAGAGTATTGTGATTGTATTATTGCATTCTGTAATTCATTTTTGGACAGAGTTTTTGGGAAAGATGATATTTAAAATAATGCTTTGTACAATTACAAATGAATCTATTACATGTAGGAGCTCATTTAGCTGCGTATGTAGAAGCTATATATAGGAATCTGTGGCCCCCCAGGGAACCTTACTATAGGATACTCTGTGACACTGAATAGAACGTAATTATTAGCATTCACAGCATCCCACAGATACGGAAATAGGAGATGCAGAGCATTCCATTAAAAAGAACAACCCACACAACTGTAATCACTGTACTCTATTACATTACATGGAGAATGCTCTGCATTTCATTACACATGATTAAGTTCTCCTATTTTTAATCACTAATTTAATATGATATTATTTGCAGTGCTATCCATTGATTAACTGAGCTCTATGAAGTCATGGAGAGCTCAGAACTGCACTTCTGAAATCAGCAGGAGTTTTGTCATGATTTCAAAGGGTAGCAGGGTTAGACCCTTAAGGAGTTTCAGAAGCAGAAACGGAGGCCGGCCGCAAGTCAATGGAATGCTAATATGTCAGAGCACAGAAACACAAATCCTAATGGACTGTTTGAAACAGACAAAATAAACTTTTGATTGGCTCCTGTTCCTTGCATTAATCCTCAGGAAACACACACACTGCAAAGTTGCCATTCAGATGTGTTGGCACAATAGGGTACAAAAGCATTGCAGAGAATCAAGTCAATTTTTTAAAATCACACTTAATAAAAGAATGCAAATGATTTTATATGAGCAATAACAATTACAGCTTCAGGGTTTTCATCTCTTGGAGGACTGAAACTTAGTAACTGTGAAATTCTCCTAGTAAATTGTTAAGTACTGGGGAAATAGTCTATCAAGCAACTGCAGGAGTCATGCATTGAATCCCACTGTGTAAATTCCTGTCCAGACCAGAGCTGTGAGCAAATTACACACTAAGATCTGCTGCTAGATATAGCAGGTTTGAGTGAGGTTACAAAGCAACAAACAGCATCAAATTCTCTCCTCCATTGCTCATCTGCAATCCACATTCAAGTAAATAAGATTGTTTTGGTGTAAACACAGAGGTAAAAGTAACTTAAAATTTCTTACAGATACTATCCTATTGCAGCTCCGGCCCCTGCCAGCTCTTTAAATAGCTCCCTGCTGGCTTTTGCTGGAGCTGCCCACCAGGACGCACCCGCTTACTTTCACTTCTGTGTGAATGAGAAAAGACTGATCCAATGTCTGTACTACTGCTGGCAGTGTGGGCTGGGAAGGGTTTTTGTGTTGTCACTATGGTGATTGGCATTTTTAAAGAGGAATCAAATCAAATGCCTGAACATAACTCACTGTGCTAACATGACATTTTTCTCAATGTTTGTCTTTACAGAGTGACCTTATATGCAGAATTCCTTCCAATGAAAGCCAGAGCAAAATGCATTTTATTAATAGAGGTAAGCAATATAGCCAAGTGTACTTGGTCCTTAGATTTAGAGGGCCAAATTAACTGCATATTGTGTCCATTCAATCCCACTGACCGTAGAAAATTCAAAACCGGCTACAACGAATAGATGGCTGAATGCAGCTCTCTATACCAGTGTCAGAGAGTGCTGCATTTAGCCTATAAGGTGTTAAAATGGAAAAAAAATAGGACTGCCTCCAGAAGAGCAAGCTGTTACTTGGTCTGTACTCAGAGGCTTTGAAAGGGCTGTCTCTGTTAAATCTGGTCGTCCCTTAATTCAAATAGCCTTTAAGCAAAATGAATCTTAATATAATTGCTGCCTATAATTAGTTTTCACTGCCTGATCTTCACTCAGTGTTAGAGTTCAGTAGATATGCAACTCTTTCATGGTGCTGGTATTCTCTTTCCTTGTCTTGGTAAGGCTAGTTCTGAGCATTCTGGATCTCTGTGATCACCTGGTGGAATCTGAAATATATCCTAAGAATTGACTAGGTAGTTATCAGGAAAAGGAAATTAGCCTTTGAGGGAACTAAAAATCAAAGGGAAGAAAATATCAGATGGATCTGGATAGGTTTCATGAGAGAGAGTACGTCTACACTACATGGATATTTTGGGATACCAGAGGTTATTTTGAAATATTTTTCGAAATAACGGGATGCCGTGTTGATATCCCTGTGTAAACCTTGTTGCACTAGGGATAAGGGATGGCATGAAATAGTGCATTATTTTGAAATTTGGCACTGTGTAGAGGCGCCAAATTTCAAATAAGCTGTTTTGAAAGAGATTCTAAATAAGATACACAAACTATGTATTTTATTTCAAGTTTAGTGTGCTGTGTAGGTGCACCCAGAAAGCTCTGGCCTTAATAATAAGAGTCTCAATTCTTTCCTTCTTTTGCAGGAAATCTTTTGTTGATTTTGATGATTTTACCTTTGTAAGGAGAACAGGATTTTAGATCTCACTGCTGTTTATAAGAATTATACTTAGAAATAGATTATTATTATCCTAGGAAAGTTTATTATGTCTGGGTATCAACTGAATGGATCTAGACTCATGTCTTAATCATTCACACCATAATGAGTTTGCAGCACTTTTGAGGTAACTGTATGTGATATGAAATATAAGGCCAAATTCTATCGTCATATGGCATTATTGAAGCAGTATTTGAAAATCACAGCAGAATTAGGCCTATTATCCACAAATTAAGTCTGATTCATTATTTACCTGTCTGCAGGTCTTCTGTAACAAATGCAGCACATTGATCTTACTGAAGGTGAAACTACCAGCCTTAATAGCATAAAATGTCCCTCATATGAAATCTTTTTTCCCTTTACTCAAAGATTTCAGTTACCTGAATTTTAGAATGGAATAGCATCTTACGAAAAGCATGGTACAGAGGGTGAGGTATGGGCAAAGTCTGAAGACAAAAGGCACACAGATATAGTAAAGCTCTTCCACATATGAAACAGGAGGTTATTTTATATAAGAAGCTGCTTCTGACACCAGTTTATTTATCAATATTTAAACATAGGTTTCTAGAGTACATTGGTGATAGGTTTTCAGAACTGAGCTGGTGGAGCATGAGGAAAAGTCCCATGGACAAATGGCGAGATTTCTTTTGGTTTACATCTGTGCACATTGTACATGTAGCCTCCATGATTCTCCGCCGGTCTCTATAGTACAGAATTTACAACAACAAATTCTCTATTTTGGCAAGGAGGTAGACTAGATGACCCTTCCTGTTTCTTCTAACCTTGTGATTCTGTGACTTTAGAACTTCAGGTTGAAAAGAACATTCATAAAAATATTCCTTCTCCTTTTTACCTTTTGTGCTGTTATCAGTCATGCAACTCAGAATTCTTTTATCCTTATAACCATTTCCTTTTTTTTTCTTTTTTGGTTTTGGTTTTGGTTTTGCAGGTCTTTTGGGCCATTGGGACTGTATTTGAAGTCCTTCTTGCAGTGTTTGTGATGCCGACACTTGGCTGGCGCTGGCTGCTCATTCTTTCTGCTGTTCCACTCTTGCTGTTTGCCATCTTGTGTTTTGTAGGTATTCTTTATGGGAGAGATGTTTATGCAGCATGCAAATCTAATATTTCACTGTAAAAATATAGTTATTATGGAGCCTGATTGAGTGGAATTCTGGCACTCTGTTAATAAATCTGAAATTATGATGTAAATGATGGTACTTCAAATTATCCTGTTTCAACAGCTAGTATAGTAAAACTCCATTGGTCCAGCATCCAATGCTCTGGCACTCCTGATGGTCTGGCACCATCAAGAACCCGGAAGTGCTCCGGCTGCCGGACAATTGGAGCTGCTCTGCGCCCAGCTTCCCCATTCAGCCTCTGCTGAAACTAGCTGAATCGGGGACGCCTGGGGCAAAGCCGGACTATCGGAAGGGTGGGCTATGAGGGGTATGGGGTGGCATCCCCCCCATCCCAGACCCTCTCATTTCGTTGGGATTGGCCCTGCCTAGAGCAGGGGGCTGGACTTGATGATTTTCTGAGGTCTCTTCCAGCTCTATGATTCTAAGGGCTGCGCTACCGGACCAACCCGGCAGCACCCCAGCTGCTCTGCCCCAAGTGTCCCCGATTCAGCCACTGCTGAAACTGACCAGCAGAGGCTGAATTGGCAATACCTGGGGCAGAGCCGGACTAGCGGAAGGGGGCTACGAGGGGTCTGGGGTGGCATCCCCCCACCCCACCCCACCCCAGATCCCTCATAGCCCCCCCTTCTGATAGTCCTGCATATCTGATAGTCCGGCACCCCCTGGGTCCTAAAGGTGCCGGATTATCAGAAGTTTACTGTAATAGGAAGGTTCTCAATGAAAGTCGTTCTGATGATGTAATGCTTATCATCTGATGCCCTGCTGTAGAAAACTAGTAGTTGGGAGTTTTGTGAAACAAGTCCAAATTGGAATTCTCTCTCCCATTTACTCCCGTTGTTTCAGTCAAATACAGTGGAATCAACCTTTTAGTCATATTAAAATCAGTTATTTTCTGATTCGTCTTGGGACTCTTAAATAATTTTACTGCAAATCACAACTTCCACCTAATCTGTTTTTTAGTAAAAACTCTTGGTGCTCATACACTACTGTCTGAAAAAATGAGTAGTACTGTGGCACCTTAAAGACTAACAGATTTATTGGGTAAAAACCACATCATCAGATGTGTCTGAGAGATTGCAGATGCATTGGATGAAGTCGTTTTTACCCTCAAAAGCTTATGCTCAAATAAATCTGTTAGCCCTGGTCTATACTAGGATTTATTTCAAAATAACCCCCCACGGGCGAATTTATAAGCAGAGTGTCTGCACTACCACGCCTGTTATTTCGAAGTAATGGGCTGTGGAATTCAAAATCTATACTACTTTTCCTCAGGAGTAATGCTAATTCTAAAATAGTTATTTTGAAATAGCGGTAGTGTGGACACTGTAGTGCTGCTATTTCAAAATAACTACCTCCCAGAGTAATTCGAACTAATTACTCCCCAATGCTTCCTGGGGCTCTAAGTCGATGGTAGTGCATCCACATTAACAGAGCCTGCCTCAGATTAATTTCAAGGCTTCCCTGTAGTGAGGACACGCTAGTTCGAATTTGTAAAATTGGGAATTAAGTCAAACTAAATAGTTTCTAAATAGTTTCCTAGTGTAGATATGGCCTCAGTCTGTAAGGTGCCACGGGACTCTTCATTGTTTTTACAGATACAGACTAACATGGCCACCCCTCTGAGACTCCTGAGTAAAAATTTGACTGTGCAGTTGTTATTTTTTAGACATTGTCATTCTTTTTCAGTAATCTCCCCAGATGATTACATGGGTGTTTAAAATCTTATGTATTGAAAAAGGTTTAAAAATTGACAGTTTTGAATTTTTTCAGATTTCT